ATGAATATAGAAATTTATATAATCTTTAAATAAATTGCCAGCCAGATAATTGCCAAACACAGATAGAATATTTACATAATGTGGATATTTACGAAAACAGAGGTGTCAGAATTTTGCATTTCTCTGCGCGGCCAGTGTATTAACGAGCCCGCAATATAATCGTTGTTTCTTGTATAATAATATTTTCTTTGTACACATAGTAACGCGATCTGGCGTAAGTCAATCTTATATTATGCTTGCGGCTAATTATCTCTCTATTTAGTTATGCGCTTATGATTTAGATATGGAAGGTACTATGTTTGATCAAGGAACAAATTGAACTTTATCTGTAGTTTTATTAAATTAGAGTCGTTATTATGAAGAATGACCTCGTTGTGAAAAGATACCTGTATATCAAGTGGCTTTGGAACAGCTGTTGAATATGTAGTGTATGAAGTTATAAGTAATTTTAGGTGTTTTATTTTTGTTTTAGAAACAGACTTTCTGAGACAATGAAGGCATGAAGAAATAAAGTTCGGACAAATTTGAATTTTATTTGAAATGATATTTGCACTTTACGAATTTATTAGTTTAATAAGTTTAATAAAATTAAATTTAATTTCATACAGATTATTAAATTAACGTATATGATAGATGATGTATTTCAATGACTCGAGAATTTTTATTTGTTTCAAACAAGATTTTGCCTGATTTCTTGATTTGTTGGCGTTATCGCTATCGTTTATTAGTTTGGCGATTTAAATGCCTCAAAAGATATCGAAGCATGATAGAGATTCCGCAATAGATAGAGACTGCAATTCAATTTTTGCTCCCTATATTAAATTCCATCCGGTTTATAGGTTATTATTTCTACGCGCGACGCTCGTAACGCTTCTTTAGAGTTCTTTTATCGTTGTGCGACGTTAAATCAAAAACCGAGTTGGTTGCTGCAAATCATCCAGTAAAACAGCCATAATTTCGTTCTGACCACAGCTTCACAATTTTGTTCAGATTTTATAATATTCATCGTCGCTCCCGTCGTCCAGATTGGCCGATTTTAATCCGCTACGTTATTCCACTACGAAAGCTAATCGAAAGTAAATTGCGTTTATTGAGATATCAGCGTAAATTAAACTTCTCTGAAATTGAAACTCAGATTTTCACTTGTCATAATAGATATGTTTGATTTTCAACGTCACTCAGCTCGGATTGATCCCGAATTAACCTGATGGTATCAATAAAACAAATTCAGCACACGCGCGATATATATATAAAATTACGTACAACGCATATCTATTTCACTAGTTTGCATTGAAGCTCAATCTTATCCCCCTTCAGGATTACACAGCCTCGCTTTGATTGAATCTCAAATCAAATTCCGGCGAGGCACCGAGCGCGCAGAAATTGCGCAAAGATCTCGCGCCGCTCGTATATACAGTTATTCCGCGGTAAAGCTTTCTCACATTGCGCGATTTATGAATTCGCGACTAAACTGCACGTTGTGCATTCGCGCGCATCCATGCGTGCGAGACTCGCCGCGAAAAAGCATATATGCCGGCCGGGGCGCGGCGGAGGTGGGATGATTACGGGGCGTCCAGACGGCGCCCCGCGTCCGTCCGACGATGCAACGGAAAATTGCATAGCCGCATCGCCGTCGGTACTTTTCCGGGACGCGGCATCGCGGAACGTTTCCAGCCGCGGCCTGCGCCGCGGCTAATTCGTCGTCGGGAGTTGAATGCTGGCTAAACGATATTCGGTTGCATTCGCGGCCGTCCCAACTGGCTGCGCATCCTTGCACCCTTCCTCTAACCCCGTTATCGTCACCCTCGGCTCAGTGCCTTGTCAGCGACGTTAATAACGCATGTCAAATGTCAAGCATAGGTTGCTGCACCAAAACCAGAATCCCATCGTGGACCCGTCCTGCCGGAATTTAAGCTCGCATTACGAAGATCCGTGTGCGCGCACGTGACGCTCTCACGCTTGAACTACTCTTCTATCTCCACAGCATATGTCCACAGCATAAAGCGTGACGATGATAAACTCAAACGTAATAGATAAATAAATAATTGTATTTTGTCGGCTGTGTACAGACGAATCTTATTTTCGAGTAAAGTGCAAAGATGTAAATTGTAACTGTTTCTCGATATTTTTATCGATTATTTTTTTATTTTTAATATTAAATAACATATATACAACATTATTAATACATTTATATAGAAATTTTTTGTATTTTTTGTTTATACTTTGGTTTTTAGAGAGTATCTATAACTATAACTATACCATTACCTCTCTGATAGGATTTGGTAGAATGATGATATTTATACAAAATTGTTATTCAAATTATTTAACAATTTTAGTTTCAAATTTACCTAATATCGTAGAATCTCAGTAAACTCGATCATACCTTTCTGTATCTCATGTGTATCGAAAAGATAAAATTAATCCTCTGATTCTTTAGAGATTATTCTCAACAAGCCATCTGATGGTTGCCAAAAAATTTTGGTATATTTGAAAGTATATACCAAATTATGAAAAAGAATTTTTATACGCATATGTTTTAGCTTGAAAAATAACGGATTTATTCCTATTTTTTGAGTATTTCCAGAAACAGTTCAGACACGAGGAATTCTTTAATTCTTTAATATTGTTATTTTTATGTCCATTCCTGACCCCATCCTCCTCTCGTTCCTGTGCATTCGACCGAGTTTATTCGCGTCGATGATCTTTTTTATCTTTTTGTTTTTCTTATTTTAGCATTTTTCTTCGTTAATTGTTATTGGCAAAAAATCTGTGCGGTATATTTATAATCGTAACCGAAGGGAACGGAATATGCTTGCGCAATTCTATATATTACTTGAAAGACTTCAAAGACTTTATTGGAAATCATTTCTGCATACGATTTTAATAGTCTCTAATATTACTTATTATTCTATAAGAAGGGAATTCTATATCGAGTCATTTATACCGGACGTCAAAAGAGACTGCGCTGCGTATCAGCCACTTCTCTGTTTGCTTTTTGCCGTCCTTGCACACGTAGCAAAA